CGGCTAACACTTTTTAGTCTCCTAACTGTCATTGAGTGAGTTTTAAAAGGACAATCATGCTGACATCTATGGAGAATGCGCTCATAAAGCGCGGTTTGATCTGTGCTTCAATGGACCATTCAGATTTTTGGTTCGCCGTCACCAATTCCTGAGATTTGTGCTCTTATGCTGTGTCGTGGCAATCCCAGTCGATTTGCAACTTCTTCGATAATAATGGATATCTGTGACCGTTGGTCAATAAGAATCTTCAGGACTTGAGGGGAACTTGATGTGCTTACTTCTACTAGTGCTGTAGCTACTAAAAAGTTTTCTGCATTTCTACTGGCGTAGTTAGACATGGCGCCTCTTGATGGATAATGTTCAACTCTTCTTGATGGTGGGTGTCGTTGAGAATTTCGCGGTGGAGTAACTATCGGCCTGTCTTGGTAGTTGGGCTGTCTGTTAGAATTTTGTTGTTGTCTATCCATATGAAGGAGCGTGTGGTGCTGATGACTGCAGGTGCTACATTTTGAATGGCGGAAACATCTCTTATTGATATCATGGCTAAGACAGTTCTAGCAGATGTGCTTTTCTTGAACATATCTATTTCTTTCCTGTGCTGAAATACATTTGAATTTCTGGCAGTGGTACGTCATGTGTTGGTCTTGGCAGAACAGGTATTTTATTTTTTCTCAGGGTTTAGCTTGCGTTCTGATTCTGAGATATTTTCTAGTGACTAGAATCTTCTTTCAAAGAATTTCATTAAGTTTGTCAACTCTGGAACATCGTGAGGCCACTCAAGACTTTGCTCATATAGGCGGTTAGTTTCGGAGTTCCACTTTCTGATTGACATTCGGATTATTATGGAGCCCCAGGTGCCACCTTTGACGTCTAGATTTATTTTGTGCTTGTAGACACTCGCTGGTGACGTCATGCAGCTGCTTCAGTTTCTCGGCGTTCTCCCTTGAGACTTCTGGTAGGTGTAGTAAGACTTGTCTAGGAGATTGAATATTAGAAACCTTTTGTTTTCGTACCGCTTTTGAAGTAGATTCCATGCTGAATCCTAGTTGGCTGCAATTGCTTCTAAGGGTTGGATTAGTTTACTTGCTTCTCCCATGGTATTTATTTTTAGGTAGTGCATCTTGTCGGCTTTGGTCAACGCTGAGTTTCTAAAAATGTCAAAGAATGTAGACTAGTTTTCATACCCTTCATGGAAAATTGGAATTTGTAATTTCGGTAGCTGGAGGTTCTGTTGTGGCTCACTCACTAGTATTTGTTGAGTTGGAGTGAAAATATCCATGCATGTTTATCATTAACAAAATATAAATTCAAGTCTGAGCTTGTTGTTGTTTTTGCTAGAACGGAAACGCTTATCAGTTATAAGTAAAAAATAACCGTGAAACATGATACCTTTGTTTGTTCCCACATTAAACGTCGGCGGCGTGCTGATTCATAATTTTTCTTATTTACCACTATGGCGTCTTGTAAAAGGACACAACGAACTTCGCACTATGTACGCTAGACGGCGCCACCGATAGCATAATGAAGTCGAAAAATTTGGGGTTGGCCCCGGGTCAAATCCCCGAAATTTCAGATCAAAGGCGCCGCCGATTTAGAGATTTTCCCACGGTATCGAAAATTTTCCCAGGCTCAGGTGCCCCCATTATTACGCCGACTAACTACATATATATTTAAAAACTGATGGATTTTTACCGCTAACTTTTCAATGACATCATCGCATTGGCACTGGACTTCTTTGTACAAGTCTTAGGTGAAGTACTTATCCTGATGGCTATATTCACATACGGCGATTTTTTCGTGCAGGTTTTGGATTGCATCCCATTGTTTCTTGCTTGATTCCATCCAATGTTTATACCGGAATTCGGATTTGTCTAGCATCAGTTCCTGACTTAATTTAGGTAAGGGTGTTCCAATTGTTGTATCTTGAACTTTTGCGTTTTTATCGGTTGCTCTTGGATACTGACGGCGGAAGGTTCAGATTGGGTTGGTGTTGGTATGGCCTTTGGGCATGTTAGTAAGTAGGTTTTGAATTCGTCGAATTTGGTATACAAGTGTTGGGCATATTGCTTGATAAAGTACTGATGTTCGATTTTATTTTTATCATCGCAGCCTCGTTCTTTTGTATTGTTTGCAGTATTGCATCCAGATTGGTCAAGTGTTTTTGGACGTAGGCCTCGGTTTTACTATTTACTGAGTCTTTTTTGCAGTTACTCAGCAGCCGAACCATTTGCAATCCAAATTTTTCTTGTTCTCGTGCAAGAACGGTCAAGTTCCTCCTTTTATGTCATGGCAGTGTTTGATACGTGACTGAATTAATTTGATGACTATTTTTCTGGACGGACGTACAGTGGTATATTTCTTCTGGACTGGCTGTATGAACGGACTTTGTGGGCGGACGGCGAGTCTTTTGAAATGGCTGGAAATGGTTGGACGTTGTGGACAGATGGCAAGTCTTCTGGACTGGCTGTATGGACGAACGTTGTGGACTGACGACAAGTTTCCTGGACGGACGGCGAGTCTTTTGGACTGGCAGTATAGACAAATGTTGTGGACTAATGGGAAATCTACTGAACTGGCTGGCAAAATACCCTAAATATCATTAGCAGATGGTGTCTATAGGAGGGTTTAAGCGTCCACCCCAACAAAACCATAATTGTATCTTTCACAAGGAAAAGGAGGCTAAATCTAACAGCCCCAACCTTGAAGGGGATACGAATCAACTTCCCAAGTGAGGTTGAATAACTGAGTGTCATCTTAGATCAGAAACTTACTTGGAACCAACATTTGGAAAAAGTTACCAACGGGGCAATAGCCACATTTTATTTTATTCTATTCTCTCCTGGGGCCCGATTCTCGTCTCAGGGAGAGGAGAGCTCCCCGAGAGAACAAATTTTTCGTCTTTATCATTCTCGTTCACTTTTCGATTACGTTGACAAGAACAAAAAATCGGTTCTCTCGGGGAGCTCTCCTCTCCCTGAGACGAGAATTGGGCCCCTGGGGTGTGCACTGTACCTGCACTGGAGCTCGTGGCTCATTGTACCCCTCTGAAGTATTCATATCAGGTCCACTCCCTTAGTAAAACCTAGGATGTCCCTGATATTCGCTTTCAGATACTGTGTCCCAAAGTGCCGCTGTCTTTAGCATCTATGGTTAGAACATATGTAGAGGTGTTTCATCTTCCTCTGGACACCTTTCGCACAACGAGTATTCTGCTAGCTTCACTGTGTTTAGGTATTTTCTGAGAGGGCAGTGTCCTGTCAACAATCCAACCACATCTTTCAATTGTCTCCTTCTTAAGCTAAGCAGTTCTTCTGTTCTGCTGTCTTCCCCGGTTTGGGTTAGCCACATACTGGACATGCCGCAGATTATTTAGCAAGACTTGGGGTCCGAAGACAAAAATGATCCATTGGGTATCTACAAGGGTTTAAGACCCGTGGTCACTTAGGCTGCAATAGTATGGTAGCCACAAGTAAAACAAGAGACAGCGCAAAACCTATTGGCAACTGTAAAAAGGTATGCATGTCTTGGAATTACAGGAAGGAGCGATGTTCAATCGCTGCAATGGAAATCATGTTGGATCTCTCTCCACTAGATATAATAATGAGGAGACAGGCCTACATGGGAGCCTCGAGAATAATGCAGACGGATTGAAAACAGAGCAAGGGACTGGAGCAGGGGTATGCGGGCCACTTTGTAGACTATCAATAGTCCTGGGGAAAACCCCAACCATATTTCTAGCGGAAATATTCGAAATAGTAAGTTGCGCTGGAAAGTGTCTCTAAAGTAACGAAGATCTATATCAATTCTGTCACTAAGTCCAGACTAGTATGGGACTGCCAACAACTCCTGGAGCAACTGGCGTCTCGCAATGGAGTCAGCCTGTCATGGGTACTTAGAGTACTATCTTAACAACTTGCAAGATAAGGAGCTGCAACACTTTTTCTTGGACCAAAAGACCTTTGGCATTACGAAAAGCCATATGATAGAGGAAGTCCAGAATTGGGTGAAGGCTCGACAACCTCCCACTGGAACACGCTTCCAAAACTTAGACAGGCAAAACAATTCATTTCGTCCTAGTCAATAAAGGCAAATGAAATGATTGTCACCATCCACCAATTTCATTGTCTTGATACCACGTTAATCCTGTTTCATCAAACAACATTCAAGGGTTCTCCTTCCACATCAACAAAGCGCTAGGAACATTTGGACTATCAAATAACCGGATTTCTAAATCATACTGTAGCCTTTTCCATGCCACCTTGAATTTGAGCAACAAAATCCCCGAAAAACATCCGTCTGAAAAGTTCTACCACAATTATTGTCCACTCTCTTTATGTACGACTAGATAATTTTGAACCAATGAATATAATTTAAGAAAAAATTCGCATAACTCGACGTATTATTCCCAGATTTGTTTCTTCATGAACCAAATCAAGTCCTAATTAAGCTCCACAAATACGTATAGCGGTTCCCAAAAGAGCCCTGCATCAAAACCCGTGATAGTAAATTAGCGGCGGTCGCCCTAATCGGGGACTGGAACCGCTCCACCGTGAAAATTGGCGGGATCTGTTTATCCGAAATGATCGTAAACACCGCAAACCGATTTACGTCAGTCGACTCTGTACAAAGCTTTGTTGTTAATAACCGCAAAGTCTCACGGGAATCTATCCGTTTATTGTGTGTGTATTTATATCCAAAGACAAAATATATGTAAGGATACACATACAAATTGTATATCACATCCTAATAAATTGAAAATGGATTATTTGAAAATCAAGTAACAATAATAGCAGTGCCAAGTTCTCTATTGTTAAGCTGTGTGTTTAATTAATGTAGTTCCAGTTCCAAATTGGAGGATTTGCAAACTTTACGCCCTCAACTAGGAGTACAATTTGGTTTCCGTCCAAACCATCGACACTCGTTTTGTGGTAGCAATATTGTGTAGCTGGGGTAAATCTTTAGTTAGATTGGGATAGTGTTGTTTGGTCCAAAGGAAACAATATTAATTAATAATTTATTAAAATAATATTTACAAATATACAAATATAAAAATTCCTAATCATAAAATTTCAATATGGACTAGAAATGTTGTTTCGGACCAAGAATGGTCCATTATTCGTACTATAAGGCAAAACAGCTGCCAATAACTGGTTTCATAAATTTTAAAATATTTTTATCATAATCATTGAATTTATTAAAAATACTACAACTCACACAATGTTATCATTCATTGTGTAGACTGTCGATTCCGGCACTATTTGACATAATGCCTATTTTTTTCGTTCAAAGGCATAGTAAAGTATTTCCTTACCCAATGAACATTTTCGCAATTGTCTTTCGTAAAACTTACAATCATATGTACCATTGTGTAAATTACTAAAATAAAATAGCCCACAGCCAGTACAAATATTACAGCCAAAATTCCATTACTGAAATCCGACTCCTGAATGGTATTAACAACGAAGAAAATGTTGATTGTTACAATGACGATGGTGAGAAGGACCGAAGTTATTTTGTAGCCTCTAAAAAAATAAAAATATTATTTCAAAAAATTCAATTGTGATTATAACTTACAGTCCATTTACGAATTTCCCCATAATTCTCGGATTACTTGTGAAGGCGATAGTTGGCAGTAGAGCAAAAGGCAACTGTAGACTCATCACAGCATTCAAATAGTCATTTAGGCTAGTGAGTTCATTGAGAGAACTGTAGAAGGCTATAAAAAATGTTGGTACCATGGCAATGCTTCTAGTGAAAAGTACTCGTTTCCATTTGGGCCATTGAAGATTCAAGAAACCTAAAATATATTTTTTTTGTGGTACTTATGTGTGAAAGCAAATCAGAGGAAATAATAAGTTGGGCAATTTCAGGCTTGGTAGGAATGTTCAGGATGTCCGTGGCGCTGAGATACGTAATCAAGAGTTGGAGAGAAATCAGAAGGATGTTCCTAGCCAAACCAGGGAGGATGGACTACACCACCTCCATAAGCCTCTCATCTTTTTTTATAAAAATAATGGAGAGGCTATGCGAAAGGTACATAAGAGATGAAGTGCTGTCAACCAATCCACTCCACCCTAATGAACATTCATACAGCCCTAGGAGAGCAACGGCCTCAGCCCTCCACTTGGTTGCTGAGCGAGTGGAAAAATCGCTGGATAATATAGAGTCCATCTAGGACGTCAACATTATTGAAGAAATGGTCACAAGATGCTGCCCGTAGGGAGGCGTGCTATCACATCTTCTGTGGAACATGGTTGTGAACAAAGAGGTAAATTCGAAAACTCCCTCTGCGAACGCATCTTGCATGCTCTTCGAATTCTAGAAAGATGGTGCACGGAATACACTTTGTCCATCAAATTCTTCTTGCGAACGGAGTTGCCAACGACCCAAATGACCTTGAGGATCCTTTAACCTATGTAACCATAGAAGAGAGGCATGATCATTTATGACAGTGAAGTGGACCTGATCTAGATAATGACGAAGTTTTTCGAAGCTTCAGATTACCGATAAACATTCTTTCTCAGTAACAGAAAGTTTTATTTCCTGTCTGGAAAGATAGCAGATGACCTTTTCATCTTCGCCAAATTTTTGACAAAGGATGGCTCCAAGTCCGAAAGATGATGCATCCGTGTGCACATAAAAGGGCTTTTCAAAATCGGGAGCTGTCAAAACAGGGGCTGTGACTAAACATTCCTTTAAGGCAGTGGCGACGATACCATGATCCAGTTCCTATAAAACGACGGACTTCATTAATATTTTGAGGCGGAGGAAGTTTGATGATGGCCTCTACTTTTTCTGGATCAGGACGAAGACTCTTACTATCAAGCAAATAACCCAAATATTCCAGTTCTTGTTGGCAGAAATTACATTTTTTAATGGAGACGACCAGACCAGCCTCACGTAGTCTATCAAAGACAATCCCTAAGAGTTTAAGATGATCCGAAAAGGAGTTGGACAAGATCACGATATTATCCAAATATACCATGACATTCGGCTCGAGTTCAGGGCCTAAAATAGTGTCAACTATACGTTGGCAGGTTGCAGGGGCGTTAGATAATCCAAAAGGCATCCTCCTAAACTGGAACAGTGAAAGCTGAATACTCACGAGAATTTTCGGCTTAAGGAACTTACCAGAAAGCTGATTTATTATTAATCGAGCTGATGTATCAAGTGTTACGTAAATTGTTCAAAATATAAGATGTATAGGAAATTGGATAGGCATCTTTTTCCGTTTGAAGACTGAGTTTACGAAAATCAATGCAGAATCTAAATTTTCTATCCTTTTTCCTAACTAAGCACAGGGGGCTTGACCAAGGGCTATTAGATCGCTCAATGACACCGACGAAACATTTCCTCGACTTCATCATCTATAATTTTTTGTTTATACGGGGAAACGAGGTGGTACCTTTGTTTAATTGGTCTTGTACCAGGTTCAAGAATGATCTCATGTTCGGCAACGTTACAGTATCTCAAGCCAGAATCTATTTGGGAAATCTTGTCTTTGACCAAAGCGTCTAAAACGTGTCTCTCAGAAGAATTCAAGTGTTCGATAGCTTGAACGTTACAAACTTCTACTTCAGAAAAATGCCAAACATTATGACCCATATCAGGGATGATTTCCAAAAATCTATACTGTACTTAAAACACCAATAATTTTTGTTTTGTCAATTAAAGTCATGGGAACCAATAGTATTACATACTTGGCCATTAGCTACAGTACACGGATTATGTTGTTTAATGAGTTTGAACCCAAGGCTTAAAAGAACTTGGTAACCAGGTAATCCGACAAGATTTCTACTAGCACCAGAGTCTAATAATCCAAGCAAGGAAAATCCCATAATTTGAATTTCAAGGTAAGTGTCTCAATGAGCATGTGAAATAATGTAGTCCAAAAGAATTTTATTTGGAAAAACTGAAGGATTGGGCATTATACTAAAAGCGTTGGAGGATATAGCACGACCTAACGATTCCTCTGGGGCTCATTTCTCGAACAATTGTTGCAGTTCTTGACTGTCACACCAGGGTTACCACATCGATAGCAATGTGTTTTTCGAGGTTCTGGACAATTCCGATTTAAATGACCATTTCTCTGAGAATTCCAGCATTTGAAATTTACTCGACTAGAATCCTGATGTGGGGAAATTTCATCAACAGGGTACGTCAGGGTACTTGGAGATTCAGTGCTAGAAGAAGGTTCAGTGACTGCCAAACTTGCGAAATCGGTTTCAACAAACTTTTGATGTTTCCTAGAAGGTGGAACGTAATGCTCAACCCGATACTTTTTAGTCTCCAACTTAAGACACTCTTGCTCAAGTTCTTCTAGGAAATTGACAACCGGTAGTTGGGTGGTGTAGAAAGGTGACGAGTTACGAGATAAAATATCCAACTGTGTTTCCAGGGTCAATCGGTCATAACGCCTAAACAAAGCTTGCATGCAGGAGAGGTAATCTACAATGTTTCCCGAGGTATCCTGAGTTCGCTTTAAAATTTCCCTTGAAAGTCTAGGACGGTAATCGGGTGGTTCGAAGTGACGGCACACAGGGTTTTCTAACTATCGAATCTGTCACGGTTCAAAAAGTCGCTTTTCTGTGACATGACGGGATTTACTCAATTCGGCCACTCTCTCTAGGAAATTATGGACGGACAATTTATGATTGCTAGAAAATTTGAGATTCCATTCCTCTAAATTTGGAGGTTTAGAACTATTAGGAACAATTGGTACTTGTGGAGTGAATCGATGGTTGGTGGAGGTATGTACCGGAAAAGATACATGAAAATGGCGGCCTCACGTTGGGCGCCAATTAATTTGCCACACTTTTTGGTGAATAAAAAAAATAAAATAATAAAAATAAAATTTAATGAAGATTGCAGGACTGAAGGTCGAAGTGCATGCAAATTATACCCTCGCTCCGAATTGTTTAATTCTTAATACAGTAATGTCTATAATGTAGAAACCAATGCTATACAAATGTATATACTCAGGTATTAATAATTTAAATATGAAATTATGAAAATGTAAAAAAAAGAAACAGAGAAATATAGAAAGAAAAATATTAATAATTAGTTATTTGAACGGTTACCGGGTATAAACCTTACAGTTAAGTCGACCAAGATCAAAATAAGTTGCTATGAATAATCAACCACATGAAACCAGGTTACGCCTAGCTAAATTACCTATAATAATTATTGTTGTTTTGTTTCTGTTGTCACAAGTACGGAATTACATCCTAAACACCGCAGTGATCACTTTGGCGCACAAAATAGAGGCAAAATGTACCTTCAGTCCTGCAATCTAAGTATGTTCATTAAATTTTATTTTTATTTTTATTTTTTTTTTTTTTTTTGTATTTACCGATAAAACGTGGCAAGGGTTCCTAATTCATCTTTTGACAGGTGATTATTACCCTCTCTATCAATATTGTGTCAATTTTTTTTGAAAATCCGTATGGTTTTAGGGAACTTATGGCCCTTATGGTTTGAAAATATGAAAAAATTAGTTTCAAATTGAGTTTTTATTTTCCTGATGATTTTCGATAGCGTTCCACATTCATCTTTTGACAGGTGATGCTTCCACTGTTGCAAGCCAGAGTGGATTCTGCAACGTCATATTTCGTCTTCAGAAAGTACTACGCAAGCAACACGAAATCAGGGCCTTTCTCCACGAGTAAGTAACATCTACACTGACGGAACCAAAACTGAAACAGGCTCGGGATGCAGAGTATAATCCAAAGCCCTCAAACTGAACCTAAAGCCCTCGGCTCCATGCCAAATGTCCTCCAAACAGGAAATACTGACATAACCATTGCTGCAGAATAAAAAGACAGCAACAATATTACTAACAAGATTCTGCACATCCGCACGGACTGCAGAGAAGCAGTAGTAGCTCTATCTAGTCCACGTCAGAACTTGTAGTACAGTCACTGTACTCTAACAGAGGTGTCGTCAACTGGATCAAAGGACATGAACACAGCGAAGGCAAATGCTCTGGCAGCGAGAGCCGCCTGGCTACAGTCTTTTGGACCGGAGCCCTTCGTGGGGCTCACCATGTCGGCGGCCAAGGATATGATCAATGAACGCTCCCACACCCTTTCCAAAAAGCGCTGGGATGATACAAATGGCTGCAGCTTATCCAAGAAAGTGCTATGCTACCCAGATAAAGCTGCAGCGAGCCCAAAACTATCGTTGACCAGTAAAGAAATCTGGAGATACAGAACAAATTATACCTCCGATCCTACATCTTCTTGAAACAGAGACTACTGGCGCTGAACTTGGACAAGTGAGTGGAAACCAAGCAATTCGTACAGAGATGGGAGCCAGAGCCAAGACTGTGCCTCCAAGTCGGTGGAACCTGTCTTTCTGAGGGGACAAAAAGGGTCTATCACTAAGTGCATTCTTGGAGAAGTGTGAAGAGCTCCGCGTGGCAAGGCATGTGTCAAAGCAAGTGCTGCTGGAATCTGGGATAGACCTCTTTACTGGCAAGGCCTATCAATTTTATGTAGCTTATAGGGGCGAAGTAACCACATGGGAAGGTTTTGTAGAACTCTTCCGGGAAAAATTTCAATCCTGTAACTATAATGAGAAACTGTTTGAGATAATCCGCAGAAGGACACAAGGAACAGAAGAAAGTATCGGCATATACTTGGCGGTGATGTCAGGATATTTCAAACGATTGACGTGCCAGATTTCGGAAGAGGCAAAATTGAAGATCCTTATCCTTCTACCAGTACCAACTGGATTTGGTGGACATAACGTCTGTTAGCCAACTCCGAACACTCTGCCTAGGGCTGGAAGAGCGTAAGGAAGCCGTTGAGAGTTATGCCCAACCTTCAAGGCGTGTTCATACGTTGGACCCGGATTTGGCGTATGTGCAGGAAGATGTTGATATTTCTACTCTGCGGGTTCAGGATGAGACCAGGGTTGATCAGGGGGAGATAGTTTGTTTTAGGCGCAAGAAGCCTCGGCACAGGGCCATTGGTTGTGTGATGCCGAAACCCAAGTACTGTTTCAGATGTAAAAAGGACGGTTTTACAGACAAGAATTGTTCCAATTGCAACCAGGGAAACGCCGCAGGGCGCTCCTAGGTCGTTATGGAGACTTAGCGAGCGCGAGAGATAGTTGCTTACGTCCCGTCCTGGATTATGTGTTAGATCACGCGCAAAAGGATGAGGGGCCGTATCTACGAGTAGATATTTTAGGTGAGGAAATTCTTGGACTTTTGGATTCAGGCGCCTCTCGCACGATCATGGGTGGCCCAGGATGGCAACTTGTTAAAGATTTAACTCTAAATCTTAGTAGCGATCAGACAGTTACTTGCAGTGTGGCCAATGGTGAGAAATGTCACAGCATTGGGACTTGCAAAATCCCTATGAAAGTAAGAGACCGGATAAGGATAATAAGAACCTTGGCTATTTCCAGCTTGCCTCACACCGTAATACTTGGAGCTGATTTTTGGAGATTTATGAGTGTTGTACCAGATCTGCATCATAATGAGCGGTTTTTCTCTGACTTACCTGTACTTTCAATGGTGACGGAGGACAGAGTACTGACCCGAGAGGAAGAGGTTCATTTTAGACAGTTGCTGGATAGAAGTTTTGAACTAATGGGCACTGAATTGGGTTGTACCGATAAAGCAGAACATGTAATAGTCACAAAAGCAAAACCTATCAAACAACGCTATTACCGAATCTCCTCAGTAATGTTGGAGCATATCGATAAGGAGTTGGAAGAGATGTTACGTCTTGGTGTGGTGGAGCCCTCCAAGAGCCCGTGGTCCTTACCCATGGTAATGGTCAAAAAGAAGGACGGTACTCAGAGATTATGTATCGACTATAGAAAATTAAATGACGTTAGTGAGCGTGATAGCTATCCTCTGCCCCAGGGATGCTAAATACTTGTCGTGCCTCGAGATTAAGTCTGCTTATTGGCAGGAGCCAGTAGCAGAGGCGTCCAGACTCTTTCAATTCAAGAGGTTACCTTTTGGACTTCATAATGCGCCAGCTACGTGGCAAAGATATTAATAATATAACGAGTGGTCAGCTGAATAGGCCGGCATACACACATGTTATTTTGCGTGGTTTATCGTGGCATGTTGGGATGTGGCGGTTAGCATGCGCAAAAGAACGGCGCCGTAGCAAAAAAAAGTGTCATCTTCCATACACTTGATTAAGTATTCAAAAAAGCTACGTACAAGTTGGAAAAACAGAAAAAGATGGATTCACTTATAGAAAGAGTGATGTTTGAAGCTCTGGAAAATAAAAACATATTTACCTTCCATAGCGAACTGTCCAGCATAAGTTCCTGTCATGGTGGAACTTTGTCCAGCAGCCAATATACCTACAGCCCAAATAATCATGGCCGCTGTACCGTAAGTGCAGCCCAAAAACACTCCGCCCTTATAAATATCCGCATCTACGATGTCATCGTTTGCCTCGAATGTATCTTTCGCAATTGCATACATGTGCGTATTGTTGCTACAATTATCCAACTAAAAAAAAAAAACAATAAGTTCTATTCCCTGAAAATATATAAATACTTACCAATTCGTTGTTGGTGGTACCAAACATTCCAAAAGCAAACACAGACACAACGAAAATATTAATAATCAAACTGCATAAAAGAGCAATAGCACTTTCAATCGAATAATAAAGTTTCGCTTCGTTAATTTTCTTAGGGTCTTGCCTGTTGATATTTCTCGACTTTACTAGAGCCGAGTGTAAGTAGAGATTGTGAGGCATTATTACAGCCCCTACTACACCTACTGCCTGAAGGAGAACTGAAGAATCACACTGGTCACACCTAAATAATTTGGATTAAACCAATTTAAGGCAACTAATTTGCTACTTACCATGGATAAAATAATCCTTTGGTAACGTCTTTTGGGTCAGGCCCAGAAATCACATATTCATATCCAAAAGTAACACCCATAACTGCTATGAGTAAGGCAAAAAACATTTCCAGTTTTCTCAGACCGTATTTGTCCAGGAATAAAAATGTAAATGTGTCTACTATTGTTATTAGACAACCACCCCATAGAGGTATTCTGGAAATAATGGGCAACATTATTAATATTAAATTATATTATGTATCGTTCTCTAAAGTACATAGAGGCTATATTTAATCAAATCCATAAAATAAATTATAAATGTTGAAACGTTTTGTAACTTTTATCATTATTAAATTTCAACGTTAGCGAAAATTTGTTAATTCAATAAAACAATATTTAATTTACGATTTTAATTTCTGTTTAGGGTTTATAAATAAATTTTATGCGCTGTGAAATTTATTTATTTTATAAATTTTATTGTTTGCGCGCAAAATAGGGGATCCAGACGTGGATTATAAAAATATTTAATGTTCATACTTACACTTTATTGGAGAGCATGTAAATGGCTATCGATGTTCCTATGACTTCTTGCATATCAGATCCTATGACGGCGATTTCTATCATTATCCATAATATCAGTCTTGGTATTTTCTTGTATTGTCTGTGGCACATTTCGGCTAAATGTAAACCTGTTACTACACCTGAAACGGAGATAATCTTTTAATTATTTTGAATGTGACACTTGTAGAGCAAAATTTAGAAGAAAAATCAAGAAATATATACAGGGTGTCCCAGAATATGTGGGCAATCTCTCGGATTCAGATAAAATACAAAAAAATAACACAACTTCCTATAAAAAAAAATTCCTACGGCCCCCCCTACGAAGTTACGTGCCCCTAAAGGACGCCTCTGAAAATCGGTTTTTTGTTGATAACTTTCAAAATACTTTTTTTTTTTTTTTTTTTTTTTTCTTTTAATATGATGGATACTAGATAAGACCCCTTGAAATGGACCCTTTCAAACACACTTGGCCAATCTAGTTTGCCAGGGACGGACTAGCTTTAACACAATAATGCTAAATTTTTTTACGCCCTGTATGATATAGGCATAGCAATAATATTATTAGATAGTTTTAACCTTGAACTAGAAAAAAGGTACTCTTATTCGATGTCAAAAAAATGAGCTGGTTGAGATTGACATTGATAAATAATTCACCCATGAAAAATACCAGATGCTTTTCAATGGCTGAAAAAATGGGGATGGGTGTCAACTTCCAAGAGAGAAGAAAAGAACCTTCTGCGTTTACTTTTTGTCTGGTAAACGAGAGAATGAAAGGTTTTGTTGTGAAAATAACGCTGAAAAATCGCCAGACGGTAATCACAGTTCGAAATCGAGTTTTCCGGCGAAACATTCTGTGGACTTTTCGAACAGGAGGCAGGCATTAAAACCACTTATATTCTCATCAGCTAACTAGCCACATTCATCCCTCAAAATACCATTTTTTCGCGACAGTGAAAATTAATCCTTTCTACTAATATTTCCTCAGTGTCATTATTGCGGTAAAGCTAGTCCGTCCCTGGCAAACTAGATTGGTCAAGTGTGTTTGAGAGGGTCCATTTTAGTGGGGTCTAACCTAGTATCCATCATATTAAAAGAAAAAAAAATACACTAAGTATTTTGAAAGTTGTCAACAAAAAACGGATTTTCAGAGGCGTCCTTTAGGGGCACGTAATTTCGTAGGGGGGGCCGTATGAATTTTTTTTATAGGAAGTTGTCATGTTATTTTTTTGAGTTCTATCTGAATCCGAGAGATTGCCCACATATTCTGAGACACCCTGTATATATCAGGTTGTATTGTTTTTTCTGCAACTCTTCTTCATAAAAACCCCTACTAATAGGATGGCCTTGCAAAATTTAAACAAAAAGGTAATTTGCAAAGGCACATTTCAACACATTCGGATATTTATCTTTTTGAATGTGACACTTGCAAAGCAAAATTTAAACTAAAACAATATTTGAAGAATCACCAATTAATACTCTCGGATTTTTATAATTTTGAATGTGACACTTGTAGAGCAAAATTTAGACGAAAAATCAAGACACATATTAACGCACTCGAAGTTCTCTAGCAGATATGTTGTTGGATTTGTTATTTGGATTTTAGCGACTCGAAACAGTTCTGCAATCAGTTTCCTGACTATTTTCAACCAATGAAATTTGCTCTGACTGGTTTGTGATTTCTGTGGAAACAGACCTTTGGAGTATAGCCTTTTTGAAAGACATCTTTGTACTTGCTTAGGCGGACTACGTCACTTTCTTGCATTTCTCTTAGAATATAAAGTACATATAATTCCATGTTTTATTTTTACACTAGAGTTAGTAGAAATAATTTTTCCTATTAAATCCACTACTCCGGTTTCAGTTTTGCTAAATAAATTTCTACACTGGTGGGGTGCGCATTTACGTATAATCTATAAGAAATTATCCGATTTTTGAAAGCTGAATTGATAATCTGAACATTGGGTTCACACACCGTATAGCACTTACTTTTATGTTTGTAAACTTAGGTTATGTGAATGAGAAGAAATGGCTTCAGCACAAACGTCAAAGTGTAAGCTTATCATTGCAAATGAGCTAAGAAATCTAGTTTCAAACAACATCTTTGGTTTTATTGATTCAACTGTTATGAGATTTATCAATTCCCAAACATTTCACAAAAACCTTATCTCTCTTCTTTATAAAAACTCGTACTAATAGGATGGCCTTGCAAAATTTAAACAAAAAAGTAATTTGCAGAGGCACATTTCAACACACTCGGATATTTATCCTTTTGAATATGACACTTGCAAAGCAAAATTTAAACTAAAACAATATTTGAAGAATCACCAATTAATACGCTCGGATTTTTATAATTATGAATGTGACACTTGTAGAGCAAAATTTAGACGAAAAATCAAGACACATATTAACGCAGTCGAAGTCCTCTAGCAGATATGTTGTTGGATTTGTTATATGGATTTTAGCGATTCGAAACAGTTCTGCAGACCAATTTCAGGTTTGTTACCACAGAAATCATAAACCAGTTAGAGCGTTTTTGATTGGTCTAAATTGCCAACAACCAGTTTCTTGACTATTTTCAACCAATGAAATTTGCTCTGACTGGTTTGTGATTTCTACTGCCATTATCGGAAATAAGTTTCTCGGGTATTCTTCCAGAAGATTTCAATTTGCTTTCCATAGCTTTGGCAACATCCGATGCAGATTTAGTCCAGAGGAATTTGGTAAAACAATCGATAACACAAGAGTCTGGGGAACAGACAGACGGAGCTCCGTAACTCGTAAGTGCTAGTAACTTCTGTTTTCGAGCCATACATAGATAATCAAAATTTGAACCATTACCGGCTCGTGAGTCTCTGGAAACCTTTCCTAGGGCCAATCAAGAGCCGGTTATACTCAAAATTTGAACTTTTATCAACTCCGGTATCGCAAGAGAATTTTTCTAAGGGCATTTAAAGCTCAAGAGCCGATAATAATCATAATTTCGAATGATCATTAGCATCTCTTAAGTTGATATCAATCAAAATTTCTTCTTTTACAGCTTCTAATTGGCTCAAGAAAAATTATCCAATGGATCAAGAGCCACAGATAATCAAAGTCTGAACTATTACCGGCTCTTGATTCTTGGGAAAACCTTCCTAGAGCCGATCAAGATCCGGTAATAGTCAAAATTTGAACTTTTATCAACTCTGGATTCGCAAGAGAATTTTTTAAAGGCTTTCAAAGCTCAGTGCATCCAAGCGCCGCCACTGTTTTAACTTACCACCCAATAATACTCGTCTCCATGAAACTATTTTCAAAAGTTTATCAAATAAGTGATTTTTTAGTTACCTAATTTAGTAGCGAGACTCTGCATAACAAATCCTAAAATTGTAGAGGCGAACAATACCCATAATAATCTGTATCTTCCTATGGCTCCGGACTGTAAATCACTTTCTATATTTCCTGGATCCAAGTAAGCTATGGACATAAGGAAACCTGGCCCGGTGAATGCCCACAGTTTCCTAAAGCTGAATCCGGTCTGGAAAAGGAGTAGAAAGTTTTTAGTATATAATTTTCATACATTTATTGCGAATAGTTTACTAAGTCTCTCATAGCTTGTGATAGCTGCCCTCAATTATTCAACCCAGCATTTTAGATTCCAAATAGTTTCGCCATAATAACAATTATTTTTGTATTCTCATTTATTGTTGAAAAAATAAGGGTAAAGTAGTGATACTAATTAGACACAAAAGTCGATGATAAACCTTTCAAGTATTTTGTCGTTGATAACAAAACCACTAATTTTCATAATCAATTATTTCAAAGTACAGATTAGAAACAATGTTCAACGTTTTTTTTTTACCTTTTCTGTTTCTGGAATTTGGATTTTGTCGGTTGCGAAATAAGTATCGACGTCTTTGCCATCTTCGCAATAGAACGACGAGGAGCTGTTGTGTTCAGTTTGTTTTACTTGTTTCTGGAAAGAAAATATTAATAATTACAACTGAATAAATTTCGAAATGTGGTACCAATTTCAAAACTACTCATGCACAATGCCAAGGTTGAAATATAATAATTGTTCCACAACATTGAACTTTTTATGCATTGTGTGCAATACCATGTTTTATTTTTATCCGTTTTGCGGTTTTGTTAATTTTATTTAATATTTCATTGAAATAGAACTAGGAAGTTCAATGTGCAATTAGAACAAAATGCACTTCATAATCTAATGTTTGCAATCTATTCTTACAGTGTATTATTTTCGTTTCTTTGTAAGCTTTATCTGTAGTATTATTATTAGTGTATAAAATGACAGTTCTAAAATCATATAACCACCAGCTAAAGTTTATGTGACAAATAGCTAAGCTTGTGAATATTGAATACGAGTCTCTTCCTAATTATTCACATATGTGATTCCACTTATATTCAGTTAATTTGTAAAATAGGTATGTAAAAACTTATAGAAACTCATCCACCTTCTTACTATACAAATTTAGAAAAATAAATATACAAAATTAGGTAGGTACTTACCTCATTTAATTCAATATCCTTCATTTCAACACTATTAACACCATTACTACGCTGGCCCGTCATTTTAATAATATTAAATGTTAAAAAACTGCAATCCAAAATCAGTCTTGTTTGTTAAACATCCACATTATCAAAAAAAAAATGCACTCAAATTAAACTAATCAAAACACTGCCGGCGCGATATTGCACAAAAAAAAAATACTGCTAATTATTAGTACTGTTCCGCAGAGTAGGGTACTGATAAGTGAAAAAAATCACGAGCGTCGTAAAGTGGTACTGCTCCAGTGAGGTAGATCACCGACTAATCTACTTATATTATGATGTTGTTAATATAAATAATAAGATTGCGTTTATAGTCGATTCAATTTTTATTTGACCATTGTTAGATTTGTTTATGTGCGAGAAAGAATCGGAAAGATAAATAATGAGTTATCTTATTTGTAGGATACTATACAAGGCAAATTAATATAAGTTTAGTTAAATTTACGAGAAAAATGGTTGGATATAAAAAAAAAAAAAATTGACGATTTTCTCTTAGAAAATAGTTTGATTGTCGTCTGTGATGGTTCTCAATTAGCTCCTGTTTGAGGAGGCTTTTTGTTTCTCTACAGATTGAGGGAGTTTACAGAAAAAGTGTAAATTTACAGAAAAAGTGTAAATATCAAGGAAAATATTTCCAATATTATGGCAGCTCTACGCCTTGTGTAAAACGATAAAAACAAAGACCGCTTTCTATTGAATTGCCAGAGTGTTGTCCCGTTTCGCCTTAAGTAATTTTTTTCTATCAAGTTGCGGCCCATTGTTTGTTATCGTATTTTATTTTTTCCTAAACCGGCACACCGGGAATCGTACCGATATCCCGCCTGAGTCCATCCGCCTTTGGTACTACTTCGGTCTTGTCCGGATTTATCGAGAGCCCGTGATCATCAGGTTTTAGGATTAAATTCATTGTGAGTGGTCCGATGTCGGCCCTTCCACTGCGACCTGCGGTCTATTGTGGCTCACTCCTAGTTTATATTTCTCCCATCAGTCCAGCTCTTCTTATGAAGTTGGAGATAAGTGTGGTGGAAGCATGCTTTATACAGGGTGGGGCAGAAAGAGTTTCCCGATTTGGGAAGCAAATAAAAACTAAATTAATCAAGATGAAAAAAAACACTTTATTTGTTGTTATATCCAAATATACGACCTCGTTTGCCCAAGCAGCAGCCACGTGCCTCTTGGATTACGTAACAGGCCATCACACCTATAAGTAAAAAATTATATAACGCGTGTACTCCATTTACGCAATGAGAGGCGTTTGATGCAAAAATGAGTGAGATGGAAATATCATTTCTGCATAAGTCTATCTTGTAGTTCGGTCCGTCAAATCTACGCATGCCTATAATTACACAGCACTCATTGGTCGTCGAGCATCGTCCGTCCACTACGAAAACGAGATTATCGATCGTCTGAAAACCATGCTTACAACCGACCAATCACCTCAACTGCATTCAACGCATGCGCACTAGACCAAACCAGGCTGAGCGATAGACTTATGCGAAGTTGACATATCTGTCTCACACATATTTGCATCAGGGTACAGCAAGAACACGCGTTATATAATTTTTTACTTATATGCCATCACGCCACGACGTTTCAAGAAGCCTCGTCAGCGTATTCAGCATTAACCAACATTTACCGTGAAAACTATGCTGACTCCGTAATTAAATTAGTATAAATAATAGTATATTGTTGTATTAGCAGTAGAAGCTTTACTTTTTTGTGCTGAAGCAGTAGGTTTGCGAGCCGAACGTAGTGAGGCTTGCAATACTGCTGAAGCACAAAAAAGTCCTTCTACTCCGTATGCAACACGCTATTTTTTCTCCAAACAAATGGGGTAAGCTTGGGGGTAAATGGATGGTTAAGCGGCAGTAAAAGTACGAGCGGCACTAAAAGTACTTTTGCTGCCGCTCCAGCGGCACTAAAAGTACTTCTACTGCCGCTGCGGTTGCCTAGCAGCATAGAAATTAAATTTCTGACATCTTGACAGGGGTTAACAAAGTGACGTTTTTTTGACGTTTGGAAAAAAAGAAAATTGTATTAGAAATAGTTAGTTAAGTTTTAGTCGTTAATCATTGTCGAATCTATGTTAGTTTGAAGTAATAAAAAGTTTTTAAAAAGTAAATTCGATGTGTCGCGATCTAACATTGGCGCAGTCGTCGGTAGGATTCGTCAACGTCAGCAGAACAGGGAAACCAACTGTCGACGGCGGATTCTCATCCCTTAACGGAAGAACCTACAACTCCTGGACGTCCTCACTAAAGTCGGCAACGGAAGGAACACCTGGTGAAGCCCCTGGTTGCACAAAGTCGTAGAGAACAAGACATCCAATGCTACTAATTGTGATTACGTGAGTAATATTGAATCATCTTATTATTTGTTTTATTTTATTGTATTTTTAATTCATTTATTGATTTGTTGGAACAACTGTTCAATTTTTCCTCCATATTTTTGCCATTATTTTATCGTTATATTTTTACATTTCCCTTTATTTGAATTATCAATAGAACCTTTAGTACAATATGCCAGAAACACGCAGAGGACAAGCAGAAATCGAACCCTATAGGCTTTCAGAAATCTCTTCCCTGATTCCCGAATTCGATGGAGATCAAATTTCATTAGGTACCTTTCTAAATGCTTGTGATTGTGCAAATGATATGACTGTGGGAAATCAAAAAGTTTTTTTAGTCATAAAAACTGGTTAAGAGGCAGAGCCGCTCAACTGGTAGATTCTAGAAACCTGTCTTTTTTTGCAGAAATCAAACGTCTGCTTAATCTTCACTTCGGAGATTCCAGAGATCTCTCCTCTTTAATACAGGACCTTCAACGCCTCAAGCAATTACAAGGCGAATCCCCTCTTACATTCTTCAACAGATTACAAGTGTTGAATACCAAAATGCACGCTTTTATACAAAAGTCATCCACTCTCAATAATGATCAGAAAATAGCCCAATGCACCTTAATTGAAGCCATGGCCCTTAATAATCGTCTTACTGGAATGGAGCCACGCCTTGGACAAATAATTCGTGCTGGAGATCTCAAAGACCTCCCAGACGCCCATGCCCGAATTAGACGAGAGCTGCAATTATCCTATTTCGAAACCCAGAAATCCATCAAACCAGTAAATGCTGTTAAGCGAGAAAATAATACATACAAGGGCTCCTTCTCAAGGTACAAAATGCTACACTTGTGGACGAACTGGACATATGTCAGATGAATGCCGCTCTCAACAATCTCAACGACCTAACTATTTCCAGAATAATTCGTACATTGAAAGAGAAGGACAGCAAACCCAAGCTACTAATTCAAACAATGCCCAACAACCCCAGACCCAGTTCAGACCCTCTAATGCAACTCAGCCATTTCAAGGGCAAACGCGACATTCAGTAATCCACAAAGGCCCTAACTATCAGCAAAACCAACGAAAACATTATATGAACTTTAACTCCCAATATTACGAAAACCCCCAATACTCTGAGGATAACTCCTACGAATATTATCCAGAAAACTCCCAAGAATCATTTAAAGAATCGTTACAGTATGGTTACGATTATAATCAATATGACCCTAATAATCCAGTCACACAGCTTGATACTGCTGATTATCAAAATATTCTGTCAGTTTCAAACCAGAACCACCCTCCGAACAATTATTCAATTCAAGAAGTGATCGAGCAACCAACCACGTTGCAGGAAATCCAGGATCAAATCCAGACCTTGAACCTCGACAATATGGATCCCAATCTAAACTTTCCGGAGCAAAACTTTCTCTAAGTCCATTGCTAAGCGTAAATTCAAAAAACCTCTTTTATATTAAGGACGCCTCAAACAAGCTCAGATGCAACCTAACAAACACAGATGCCATCCTTTCAGCACAAAAAAAGGAAAAAGTTAGAATTCCACACGCATTAGTCCATGTAAACAACAAAGGGGAATTTTTCACGTCAATCCTCAATGCCAACGTCATTCCCGAAATTGTGAATTTCTGCAACCTACAACTAGAACCCATGGAAAAGTCAGAAACGATTCTGAATTTCAATTTTCCAGAAAACCAAAACGCAGGACCCACAGATAGAGTACAAATAATTAACAACGAATTGAAAACCGAAGATCTTGAATTTGAAGAAAAACAGAAGATAACAGAACTTGGTCTAGAATACGCAGATATCTTCTATCTAGAAGGCGATGCACTAACCTCTACCAAGGAAATAAAGCATAGAAACAAACAATTCTAGGCCAGTTTTTACGAAATCCTATAGGTACCCTCAAGTGCTCTTCACGTAAAAACGCAAATAGGAAAGATGCTCGACCAAGGAATCATACGTCACTCTACTTCACCATGGTCCTCTCCAGTTTAGTTAGTACCCAAAAAACTCGATGCCTCTGGAAAACAGAAATGGCGCGTAGTAATAGATTACAGGAAATTGAACGAACTAACGGTCGACGATAAATATCCGCTCCCTAACATCTCAGATCTTTTAGATCAACTGGGAAAATGCCAGTATTTCTCGACCCTTGATCTTGCATCTGGTTTCCACCAAATCGAAATCGACTCAACTGATATCTCAAAGACAGTTTCAGTGGAAAATGGCCACTATGAATTCGTCCGTATGCCCTTTGGGTTGAAGAATGCCCCGTCCACATTCCAGCGCGTCATGGACAATATTCTCCTAGGCATTCAAAATGAAAGATGTCTGGTCTACATGGACGACATCATCATTTATTCACCTACTATCCATGAACACATAGATAGACTCAAAGTAATGTTCAAACGTCTTCGAAAAGCAAATCTCAAAATCCAACCAGATAAATGCGAATTCTTGCGCAAAGAAGTCGCATACCTTGGCCATCTCGTTACCAAGGATGGTGTGAAACCAAATCCCTCTAAAGTAGATTGCATCCGTCATTTTCCAGAGCCAAAAAACCAAAAGGACATAAAATCATTTCTTGGACTTGCTGGATATTACCGCCGCTTCATTCCAAATTTCGCAAAAATATCCACAAAACTCTTACAAAAGGACGTAGAATTCAATTTTGATTCCGAATGCAAAACCTCATTTAGCGAGCTCAAAAACGCCCTTATCTCTGACCCTATCTTAATATATCCAGATTTTGAAGAACACTTTCTTCTCACAACAGACGCAAGTGCTTTTGCTATAGGCGCTATCCTGTCACAAAAGACCTCCCAATAACGTTTGCATCCAGAATCCTTTGTAATGCAGAGACAAAATATTCCACCATCGAGCGGGAATTACTCGCCATTGTCTGGGCTGTCAAACATTTCCGACCCTACCTGTTTGGAAGGAAGTTTACCCTGATCACTGACCATAGACCTCTAACTTGGCTCTTTTCTATTAAAGACCCAGGAAGTAGATTAACAAGATGGCGACTGAAACTCGAAGAATATAATTACAAAATAGAACACAAGCCAGGGAAAATCAACAAAAATGCCGATGCCCTTTCCAGAATTGAATTAAACCATTTCCAAGAAGGCATCAAGTTCAATTCCAGAATTCTTGCCTCTAACGAAGAACAAACTGAGGAGGAAACAGAGTCAGACGATCCAGATGTAACCGATAACGAAAAAATAAAAGAAGAATATAATAGATTTGTAGATTTATACAAATCTAGGTCGCTCATAGACTATTTAAAGATAGAATTCTCAAACTTGAAACTTCTGGATAAATCACATAAGGACATAATAACATTTTTTCGACAAAACAAACTAGCATCCTACGATATTAAATGACATTTTTGAAGAACATCTAGATTTTAAATTGAGGCAAATTAACATCCCTGCTAGCAAAACTGTTAAAAATAGAAGATATGTTATTGTGCCGCTTCCATTCGATCCAGAAACAGTTGTTCCAGAACTATTCTCCATCCTCCATTGTTGATACACTGCGGATCATATCAAGCGGAATGGCAGCAATTTCCTGGATTATCGTCTCTCTAAGAGCTTCCAGAGTTTGAGGACGATGTTAATACACTTTTTCCTTGAAGTAGCCCCAAAGAAAAAAATCACATGGGCTTAACTCCGGCGAGTACAGGGGCCACCCGATGTTACCATGCAAAGAGACAACACCCCCAGGAAACATTTGTCTGAGAATTGCCAGCTGTGTGGGCTGTTGCCCCATATTGTTGAAACCACACATGTTATTGTCTATGTTCACCGAAAAGAGCAGCCACTCTGGGCCGTAAAAATTTCTCTAGCGTCACACAATATCGATCTGCGTTTACCGTAACAGTAGCACCGTTTTCTTCAAAAAAGTATGGACCCCACCACCTCACAGACCAAATTCAGAAATGGCACACCAGACTGTAAACTTAGAGCTATGAAGTAGCCGCTCGTGAAGTTCCCTAAGGTTATTTTCGGACCAGTACCTGCAGTTTTGTTTGTCGACCTCGCCCGAAAGGTGGAAATGTGCCTCATCACTAAAGATCAAAACGTCCATGCGAGGAAGATTGTGAAGCTCTTGACACAAAGTGGTACGGGTTTCACGGTCTCTTTCACGTAACTCCTGTACACTGGCAATTTTATGGGGGTGCATATGAAGATCCCGGTGCAGAATTCTCGCAAATGAGCGTTCCAGTTTAGAGTCTTGTCCAGGATGACTCCCAAATACTTTGCTCCATTCGAGAATGGTACTAATTCTCCCCGAATAGTTAGCGGTACCAAGTTATCAAGTTTTCTTCTCCTGGTGAAGGTTACTATGACTATTTTGTGAGGATTGAATGTCATTTTTCTCTCTCTCTCGCACCAATCAAGCACGCAGCCTCGCACCTCTTGGAGTGCAGCTGAGACCCTCGCCTCAGAACTACCCTTGGCTATTATAACTAGATCGTCCGTATATGCTTGAGCCTCAACCCCCCACAGTTGTATCACGGCCAGGAGGTCATCCACCAGAAGTGACACAGAAGTGGAGAGAGTCCCCTTCCCTGCGACCCTAAACATGACCGTTTCTTCCTGTGGAGAAGTCTTTATCACTCCACCGTTCAGCGTGATCCTAATCCAGTTACAAATTAGCAGGTGGATGACTCTAGATTTTGTTGCCTCGTAAAGAGAGCTTGGCGTCGTATTGTTGAAAGCTCCCTCTATGTCCAAAAAGGCGGCAAGTGCCAGAGAGCCGTCTATGCTAGCGACCAGGTTACTAAGAGCCAGCTTTGTGGAATTTCCTGCCTGATAGGCATATTGATGGGTACTAAGGGGTTAGTTCTGAGCGCCTCTCCCTTAATCCACTCATCCAGCACCTTTTCTAAAGTTTTCAGGAGGAATGATGTCAGACTTATTGGTCTGAATGATTGGAGTGTGGGTTCTTTGCACCCCGCTTTAGGGATATAGATCACCTTGGTCCAGCTTGATGGTATATGGTTCCAATCCAGACTGGCTCTGTAGAGTCTTATTGGGAATGGAAGCAGGATCCCAAATCCTTTCTGTAGCAGAGCAGGGGAAATGCCGTCTTCCCCAGGCGATTTAAAAGGGTGGAATGATGAGACCTCCCCCTTTATGGCCGCCGCTGTAATTATTTTGTTGGCTGTCAACCAGTCTTCTCTTCCAGGTCGTTTAATCCGATCACTGGGTTGGGCATCCTGGAGGCTATTCATCAACAGACTTTCTGGAAAGTGGTTCTCTGCGAGAATCTCTAACGTTTCTTTTCTAGATTGTTTACGTGTAGGCACATGTCTATGGTCACCAAAATAGGGAAACGCCGGGGGAGGCCCGTGATTATTACACCAGAAAATAGTTTTATTCAAACATTATTTTTGTTGGTAATGTTTATCTTACATAATAACTTTCTGAGTTGAATGTTTTCTGTAGAGAGAGATCTGATCTAACTGATCATAAAACGATAGTAAGACAGTGGGTTACGATTTTTGACAATAGTTAGGCTAATTTTGGAACAGCAAGTTCACATATCTACGAACACACTTACTTAATTTGATATTATCTTATGTAATGATAGGACAGAAGAATTCTCTTGATATGCGTGAATTCGGGGTATAGTCAAAGGCCACGTGGATTTGATAATTGACATGGAGATAATTTCAAGAACATTAATTTATAATAATGTACCCACTTGGTATTTGATGTTGTGATTCATGATTTATTACTAATAATTAATGTTTGTCGTGTTTATATAATTATGCTTCTTCCATTTTAAAATATAAACATACTTTCCAGAATTTCACTGTTTAGAAAAACCTAACTATATATTCCAGATTTACTTGGAAATTATTTCTGATAACCTTTTGGTGGTTCAAATAACGTATTCCATCGAATTTCGATAAAGACAATAATTCCCCAATTCCCAATAGTATCTTTGCCGTAGCTGCAAAAAAACACACACTGTTTCATCACAAAAAAAAAATCTAATATTTATTCTTAATAATATTTACATTTACACAATAGAGGAAGTAAAATAAAATTTACATGAAAATGCCAATAACATTTCACTATATTGAAATAATACATTGAATTATAAGTGAAAAAGTAACAAGTGATTGGGAGAATAGATAGGGAAAGGAGAAATTAAATACAAGAATAGTTAATAAATAGATGAAAAATTAAATTAAAAATAAATTAGAAAAATAGTGAAAAAGACTTAAAAAAAGATCAAAAGTTAACAGAAAGAATTTTGGTTTTACATAAGTCTCACGAAAGGATATTAATAGTCACTTTCTTCATCACCTTCCTCGCTTTCTTCTGTTGATTCTGATTCTTCGTTTTCGCCATCACCATCGTCTCCTGGAAAAAATTCAAGCACAAAAATGATGTCAATGGACTATATAACGATTATAGGATAGGACAAAATCCATGTATGATTGATATTTCGATTGATAGAGTGGCCAACGGGCAAATAATGCATCCATTGTAGCTTTACCGACCTACAACACATAAATTCAAATTAGATTTGCCGGTGCGAGAGAGGCGTCTGTTTGCGATATACGCGCAAATACGGTCCTTGATCTGGCACAGATTTATACGTCAGCTAAGTATAATAATGTAAATTAAGTTAGCATTCCCCATGTTTCCCTCCCTGTCGATGATTTATGCGTCGGGGGAATTGGGCAATTAGTCGCATTCGCCTCTGGCTTAAGAGTATATCGTGTAATTTCAAATTCGAAGAAGAATTGAACTACTTTGTATACTTATACAAAACTAATTGAATATAGTAAAGTTGGGCAGATGAGAATGCTACATATGCTTGTATGAATCAATAAAAAATCTTGAAAGGTAACAGCAGAATAATTGATAAAAGCAAGAAGTGGAAAACTCAGAACTAACAACTTCTGAACAAGAAAAAAATCATTCTTTTGCAGAAGAAAACCCGAAAACAGAGGATGAACATGAAAGAATTTCTAGTGAACCAAGTGATAATCAGACATCATCAGTTGCAATACTCACTGAAAGACTAGAACATATAGTTTCATCCAGAATCAGTCAGCGAATGCTTGAAAAACAAAGTGCTCTCTTCGAATTAAGATCATCTGTATAAAGCCATGCTGAGACGAGAAGAATATGATGATTCTATAGTTCAGTCTTCAGGATTTCCTCTTTAATGGATTGGTAAGTCTGTAACGAAGTTTCAGTATTTTTCATAAAATAAGTGCGCCTCCCGCTTCGCCTTAATTTAATTAATAATTGTATGACTCAATTTTCTATATTCACGGCGGTATTAATTAAAATCCTCTTAGGCGTCAGTTCTTGCAGGGTCGCGAATTACACCAGAAGGTAAAAATCAATTATATAAGCTTCACTAAGATTTTCGCCCGGTACCTTGGACGGGTAAATCTTTTCCTGCAATAGGGATTCCGCCCGGTACCCTGAACGAGTAGTCTCTATTGCTCGTAGAACTTCGCCCGGTACCCTGATGGACGGGTAGTTCTGTATGAGAGATTTTCGCCTGGAACCTAGGACAGATATTTCTCTCCGGAGCTTATATGATATCTCTAATCTGTTAAATGCACGATTCGAGAACTGACGCTTATGTAGTTTCAGGTGGTGTCCATACATTTGCTTGGGTCACCGGAGTTTGTTTGTTGCTTTATTGCTATTTAACATTTGCCGTTAGCGTTAACGTTATACCGGAACTTTTAGAACTACCGGAAGGCTGACCGTTCCGTTATCGCTACCGTTAACTTTTCCGGACACGCTTTTCACCGCCCGCATGGTCATGCTTTTACCGCACGCACATAATTTTTCACTCATTTAATTATCTCTCTCTCGCGCATAACAGTTCATTCTTTCACAGGGTTAATTAAGGGTTTTCCAAAGCAAGCGTTTGTGACCCCTGGATTACCGTTTCTCCACTGTAACAAGCTACCTGTGTGTCTATTCTTGACGACAGCGTTCTCGAGAGAACGATTGCTCTATCTTTGCCAGTGTTACGGAAATATAAATATGAGCGACTAAGACAGAACCTTCATTCTCATGACAACGCTGTTCCCCGGTTTCGAGAACGGACACCCTGGTGCACGTGGGCCCTCGCCTCTCAACCACTTTAATCCTGAGGGTGGCGCCTGAGGCAAACCGTTAGGTAAACCGAATTACACTGAGCCCGCGTTGATTACGCAACTAAAGCGCCATACGAAATTGGCGCCCGAGCAGGGACCGTTAGGTAAACCTACTTACCCTGAACCCGCTTCAATTACGCAACAAAAGCGCTTTCCAAAATTGGCGCCCGAGCAGGGACCGTAAATACTTTTGCTTGCCGTAGAAGTTTAACCGTACTAGGACCGCTCATCATACCATGCCAGAAGGCACCGGTAACAATGGAAATCCACCGGTTACCAGCACACCAAATACCAGTGCATCCACCGTGGTTACAACCAATTCAGTAAGCCCGGGAATGTACCAATAACCACATACCCCGTTTGGTACGACCCCAACGACGGCCATGTGAGTTGGGTGTATCTATTGAAGAAACACGAACTGATTCCTGAATTATAAAAGTTTGGACTGGACACTACAGGTACCGTTGACATATTTTATCGTCAGGGAAAAGCCTCACCAGCACCAACCACCATGGCAGGATTTAACTTTCCGACCGGTTCCGGCACGTATACGACGCCTGCAAGTAGTACGGCTGCCCTGACTCAGAACAGTACTGTGGTATTCGGTACAATTCCGGTGCTCAAACCACCGATACCAAGCATAACCATTCACCAACCGCTGCCTTCTCCAGTCGCATACGGGTCTCCAGGAATGGCACTGAAAGTATACACATGGAATATCCATTTTAATGGACGAACCGACCCAGTAACATTCATAGAGAGGCTACAGGAAATTTGTTCCTCCCTAATAGACCGTTTATTGCCGCATATTCCTGAGCTTTTACAGGACGACACTTCTTTGTAGTCCCGAAATAACCGAGCCCACTGGAAAACCTGGGACTAATTTCTGCAGGGTTTTCGTAGCTTTCATTTCCCGATGATGCCGCCGACCTGGAGATCGTAATTAGCTGCCGGCTCCAACAGCCGAACGAGCCAACCCATCGGTATATTACAGACTTGCAAACCCGCATCAGAAGACATGGAAACATAACCCCCGATCAAGAGCTTCAATGGTTGTACCGCAATCTGTTACCTGATTATCAACATGTCCGGAAAACCCACATTACCGACGTGGTTTCACCTTCACGGGTTATCGGCGAAATTGAGCTTCTGCTGTCCGAGTTCTTCATCCCGTGATATCTCCTCCACCGATAATCCGCCTAAAAACCGGACACAAGAAGAGTCCCGTTATCGACGTTCAGAAGGGTCCCAACCAAACCCAAGATATGACCGACCTCCACAACCAGGAAATTACCCTTATAGAAACCCAAACAATGAAAATAGCGGCCCTAATGCCAATATTGGCTGGAGATGTGGGGAACCGGGACATTTTCGTACGAAATGCCGGGGTAGAGCAAAACTATTTTGTTCGAAATGCGGAAAACAAAGCGTTATGACCCGAGATTGTGGTACCTACTCGTTTGGAAAACTAAGCCGGCGCTGTTCTGCTCCAAGGTCGGACCAGCACCGTAGTGAACAAACGTTGAATTCTACTCTGACGCATACCTACCATATCTGATTGCCGTCCTCACATCCTGATATACCTCTATGATACGCCATTATCGGCTCTTGTAGACAGCGGAGCTGCTAACGAATATTGGGGATTTCGCCGCCGATATTTGTCGACAAAAACAAGCCCCCGGAAGTGACACCACCCGTTCGAAGTGCGAAGTTGGCATAATAGATATAATGGAGGCTTACCGAATTCCGTTACACTTGGGAAATATCACGCTGATCGAAAACCTAAGTTACTTTCCGAACTTTACGCCTGAAGTTGTGCTTGCTGGGTATGGACATTCTAGGCCGACACTCGTTCCAATTGGATTTCCGCTCCAATCGAGTTTATTTAAACAACAAAACATTAGACGCTTCAAATTTGAGCAGCCCAATTGGTCAGATTGAGCTGACGTCAAATGTAGAGCCGACAAAGAGTGAGGCAAGCCGCCTAGAAGAATTTTTGGATGAGGAGCTACCAAAGTTTGAGGAAATCCAGGGGACTATACCATTAATTCAACACTCCTTTCAACTGCTTAAACCGGAACCGATCAAACAGAGATCCGTCCGCAAAACCCTAAGATGCAGGAAATAATTACCAATGAGGTAGAAAAAATGTTAGCAGAGGGAATAATCGAGCCTTCGTCCAGTCCGTGGAGTTCACCAGTGGTTATTGTCCGGAAAAAGGATGGCAAGTACCGGTCCTGTATTGACTTTAGACACAGAACAAGCGTCTGTGACCCCTGGATTACCGTTTCTCCACTGTAACAAGATACCTGGTTCACGTGGGCCCTCAACCACTTTAAACCTGAGGGTGGCGCCCGAGGCAAACCGTTAGGTAAACCGACTTACACTGAACCCGCGTCGATTACGCTACAAAAGCGCTTTACAAGTCACAAGATCAATATCAGTTTCTTCCCAACAACATATGATGGTCAATTTCAGAAGAGCCTAGACCTTTCCTCAACTCTATCAAGTAAATCATATTTATTGATATCATCAATCTTTATGAAGGCAATAAGCTTTTGAAATACAATTTTTTCAGGTTCATGTAAAATTGAATTCGCCTTACCTTCTGTAGATTCTGATTCGCCATCACCTTCTGAAGCCTCAGAACCTTCATAGTAACTGCCGCTGTCCGCTTCACCTTCATAGCCGTAGTCAGATTCTATTTTCTTTTTGGGTTGTTTCTTTTCATCCCTAAAATTTCAAAGTTACATAAAACCAAGGATACTTTCACATTAACCGAAACTAGAGTCAATTTTTTAAATTGTGTTTCCCATGTAACTGCGTATGTCCTTTTTTTTTAAAAGGACATCTGTCACGAAAAAAATGTCCTAACTTTTGCAACAAAGCCATTTTCTCTAAATGATTATAGCAGACACAAAAGAGCCATTCATATGTATCTCAAAAATAATTGCGTATCAGAATATTTTGTAACTTAATGGGGTATAGAGACGTGATACGCTTTAAAAAGACATCAGCTCAAAAGAAACTTTTTGATAAGGATATTTTCCCATAAAAGAAAATTTTGCCAATAACTTACTCATTCAAATCTTCAAATACCGCATACGATTTCCTGGTTTCTTCGCCATCGTCTTCGGTTTTTTCGCCACCAGCTATAAAAACAAAATACTTATTTCTTTTGTCATCAAAATTATTTACTAAAACCTTCTGCATGTGCCTCTTGAATCCCCTTATCATTCTCGCTATCCACTCCAGCCTTATGTTCTTGTCCATATTCCGAATGCTTTTCGTAGCCGTACTTGTCCCCGTCCTTTTTATGGAAACTGTCGTAATGCTTGTAGCCGTCTTGTCCTTTGTCGTTTAGCTTCTTGGAATAACCGTGAACATCGCCGTCGTCGTTTTCCGCGTCGCCGTAAACGTGGAGGAAAGCATTTTTCACACCTAAGGATTTGTAAGTCACGATTGTATTTTGGACCCAAATTACACGTGCGAGATGAAAGGTGATAATGCATTTGAAGTACCATCAAGGAGGATGCTTTTTATTTATTATCTTTGTACGTGCCTGATTAATGTAAAAAAAGGAAATTTAAGTAGTGCTACGTCAATGGAAATATCAAATGTATTTCTAGTAGATTTTATAAATACAAAATAATTTTATATATCGTCAAATGCAGCAGCAGACGTTGTTTAAACTACAATACGACTCGTTTTTGCACCAATTTGGGTTGTTGAACCGTAACACTTTGAATGACGACAATTATTGGCTTTGTAACCTTTTTCTGACGTCGCAATGACCTTTTGAAAGTCGGTTTCTAACCTTAGCCGACACACTTGCGTAGTGGTACGACTAATGAGGAAGACATTGGTCATTAATAGTGAAGTTTCACATACCTAGTCTTCTCGATTATAAAAATCATAACTCTGCTATTCTAAACAATTTTTCTATAAAACTTTAGTATGTTGTAGCTGGAAGCTTCCTTATTAAATGAAAAATTATTGGCTTTACCAAGTGTCCCAAATTTCCAGAAGAAAAATCAAAAATCAGGTCAGCAACTGTATGGCAAAAACAACACTCAGTGGTTCTATCTGATCGCAAAAATCGTAACTTCGCTATCCTGGGCCATTTTTTTATAAAATTTTGATATGTTGAAACCAATAGCTTCCTTATTGAATGAAAAAATCACTGACTTTTCCAAATGACCCAAATTTCCAGAAGAAAAATCAAACATCAAGCCAGAAAGTATATGGCAGAAATATCATTCAGTGGGTCCATCTGTATCGTAACTTCGCTATCCTGGGCAATTTTTTCATAAAATTTTAGTATATTAAAGCCAAAGGCTTCCTTAATAAATGAATAATCATTGGCTTTTCCAAGTGTCCCAATTTTTCAGGAAAAAAATCAAAAATCATGCCAATGACTGATGGCAGAAATTTCAATCAGTGTGTCTTGTTGATTGTAAAAATCGTACCTTCGCTATCCTGGGCAACTTTTTAATAACATGTGTTAGTATGTTGAAGCCAAAAACTTCCTTATTGAATAAAAAAATCATTGACTGTACCAAAAGTCCCAAATTTCCAGAATAAAAATCAAATATCAGGCAAAAAAGTATATGGTAGAAATATCATTCAGTGGGTATATCTGATTGTAAAAATCGTAACTTCGCTATCCTGTCCTGGGCAATTTTTCTATAAAATTTTAGTATGTTGAAGCTGAAAGCTTCTTTGATAAATAAAAAAATCATTGACTCTCCCAAGGATCCCAAATTTCCAGAAGAAAAATCAAAATTCAGATCAGCAACTGTATAGCAAAAATAATATTTGAAAAATCGTAACTTCGCTATCTCGGTCAATTTTTTGATAAAATTTTAGTATGTTGAAGGCAAAAGCTTCCTTATTGAATAGAAAAATCATTGACTCTTTCAAGTTTCCCAAATTTTCAGAGGAAAAACTAAAAATCAGGTCAGCAACTGTATGGCAAAAACAACACTTAGTGGGTCTATCAGATTGTAAAAATCGCAACTTCGCTATCCTTGACGATTTTCTTATAAAATTTCAGTATGTTGAAGCTGAAAGCTTCTTCAATAAATAAAAAAATCATTAACTCTCCCAAATGTCCCAAATTTCCAGAAAACAAATCAGAAATCAGTTAAGCAACTGTATGGCAGGAACAAAACTCAATGAGTGTATCGGATTATAAAAATTGTAACTTCGCTATCCTAAGCAATTTTTTAATGAAATTTCAGTATGTTGAAGCCAAAAGCTTCTTTCTTGAATAAAAAAATCATTGACTCTTCCAAGTGTCCTAAATTTCCAGAAGAAAAATTAAACCTCAGGCCAGAAACTGTATGGCGGAAACATCATTCAGTGGGTCTATCTGATTGTAAAAATTGTAACTTCGCTATCCTGGGCAATTTTTTTGTAAAATTTCAGTATGTTGAAGCTGAACGCTTTTTTAATAGATATAAAAATCATTGACTGTCCCAAATGTCCCAAATTTCTAGAAAATAAATCAGAATTTAGGTCAGCACCTGTATGGCAGAAACAACACTCAGTGGGTCTATAGGATTGTAAAAATCGTAACTTTGCTCTCCTGGGCAATTTTTTGATAACATATCAATATGTTGAAGCCAGAAGCTTCCTTATTGAATAAAAAAAATCATTGACTCTTCCAAGTGTCCCGAATTTTCTGTAGAAAAATCGAATATTAGGCTATCGACTGTTTGACAGAAATATCATTCAGTGGATCTATCGAATTGTAAAAATCGTAACTTCACTATCCTTGGCAATTTTTTCATAAAATTTTAGTATGTTGAAGCTGAAAGCTTCCTTAATAAATAAAAAAATTATTGACTCTCCCAAATGTTCCAATTTTCCAGAAGAAAAATTAAACCTCAGACCAGCTACTGTATGGTAGAAATATCAATCGGTGACTTTTCAATTATAAAAATTATAACTTCGCTATCCTGGGCAATTTTCTTATACAATTTTAGTATGTTGAAGCTGGAAGCTTCCTCAATAAATAAAAAAATCATTGACTCTCTCAAGTGTTCTAAATTTCCAGAAGAAAAATCAAAAATCAGGTCAGTAACTGTATGGCAGAAACAACACTTAGTGGGCCTATCGGATTGTAAAAATCGTAACTTCGCTATCCCGGCAATTTTTTGATAATATTTCAGTATGTTGAAGCCAAAAGCTTTTTTCTTGAATAAAAAAATCATTAACTTTTCCAAGTGTCCTAAATTTCCAGAAGAAAAATTAAACCTCAGGCCAGAAACTGTATGGCGGAAACATCATTCAGTGGGTCTATCTGATTGTAAAAATTGTAACTTCGCTATCCTGGGCAATTTTTTTGTAAAATTTCAGTATGTTAAAGCTAAAAGGCTTCTGGAAATATAAAAAATTATTGATTCTCCTTATAATTTACATCAACATTATTTAGACAATTCATACCAATACTAACCCAAAGTATCCCAAACTTACCAATGCTAACTCAAAGTAACCCAAAGTGTTCCAAACTTACTAATACTAACTTAGAGGGTCCCAAACTCACCAATGCTATCCCAAACTTACTAACCCAAACTTACCAATACCAACTCAAAGTAACCCAAGCTCACCAATACCGACCCAAAGTAACTCAAACTTACCAATATTAACCCAAAGTATCCCAAACTTATCACTGCTAACTCAAAGGCTGATACTCGAAGATTAAGTTATTTTTAAAAGTTTATTGATGGGCTTATTGGCGAGAAATCTAATATATGATCTTATATTGGTATCTCCCAAATAGAACGAGTGATTAAACTGTTCGGCAAGCGAAAATACTGACTGATGAGATCGGGAAGAGAAAAAAACTTCGTTCATTCTATATTATTTTTCAGAAAATCCTGAAGTTGTGATGGCACCTCAATATAGCTTACTTCTGTATAATTGTAATTTAAAAAAGCAGCAAATTCCCAATTTTGAAGAGATGATTATATAGAGGGGAGCGACATCTATTTTCCCAACGCTAAAATAAGTCGTGTTTTTCAACGGAAACATCCTACTATAATCAATAATGTGATAATCATTAAAACCATAAATGAAATTCTGATAAAAACTTCCAATAGAGGACCCTCCAGTTGGCGTATCAAGATTTAAAAGTTAGGGCACCTGTACCCAATGTATCAAACTTGTAAAATGTTGATTTCTACGATTCTCCTGGTGTAAAAAGTAAAATTCATTTGATTATTCTTTCAAAAATATACGTTTGGGTCAACGGAACTTCAATTTCAACCATTCGATGATGAGAAATGTTCTTAAATGAATTTGATGGTCGATCCTCGACCCCTCAAAATGTGCTGATTGACTTACGAATACATGATGCACAATTCTGTATTCAGATTTAGCAGAAATTCTTCTGATGGAGAAAATATACCCAAAAGGCGGAAAAAAGAATGTGAGAGAACACCAAGGTGGAACATTTGGCTCCAACTGTTTATGCTTATATTTGGACTACAACACGATTTTCTATTTCTAAAATGATTATTTGGTTTTCTCGCAGTTAAATGATAATGATATCAATTTTCCATATTGTTCATTAGAAAGCATGGATGGCGCCATTTTAAGGGATGAAATTTACTTGACTTTTGACCCTAGACATTGTGGCATAATACAGAAGGTCGGAAATAGTGCAGTTTTTCCGACTTACACAACTTTGTATAGGTCGGAATTAGTCAAGACTTATGGAAACTAGTCGCGATCAGGTTTAACATTTAGAATCAAATAGTTGTTGAATCTTTCTACTTACCAGGTTTTACCAAGTCTCCAATGTGACTTGGAGCAGCTCGAGTCTCCCTGACAGTACTTTCAACTGTTGCCGTATCGTCTGATCCTTCGAACATCAAATCATCTTGCATCGGGATACCAAAACCACCCACAGCAAGAAGGCAAATGCAACCGAAGAATTTATACATGTTTGAACTAAAAAAATATTAATCCAAAAGGGAATGCAAACGAATAGGAAAATCCCTTACCACTCCTGAGTCAGAAAACTGACCGAAAATTTAATGAAAAAATAACACACGGGTCACTGATATATATCAATTATATTACTGAAAGCCATTCGGAAAATCGGACTCTTATAAACCGTTTTTTGTTGTATCGATTTGGTAGGGCAAAAATGACCGATTTTGTGCGGTTTTTGTTCGTGTTAGATAATTCAGTTGCATTGGATTTACGAAGAAATACTAAAGAAAAAAGTGTTGAATAAATATGTTGCAAAACTGAACAACCGGACTGATCTGTTGCGGTTTGTCGTGCGGAAAATTCGATTTTTCGGTCGAATTGTTTTGGGTACAGGTATATGGGTATTCCCATAATAATTTTAATAAAAAAATTGACCTATATTAACTATTCTTTTGATAGTTTATGCTAATTTTTGCCTTTTGACATACTGAAGTCAGTTTGTTGGAAATAGTTAAACTGAATGATTCAATGGTAAAATTATGGCAATAATGAGAAAAATTCTCAGAAGATGCTCTCTCATCAATCGTTCAATTTCTGTTATATATGTCATGAACGCATTTTACTTTATACATGAAAACCTACAAATAAGACATTTATTCCTTTTTGGTTCACCAGCTCCGAGAAATAAAATATTTTTGAAGAAAATTGTGTCTGGCAAACTGTGAGAATGCCATAGATTCACCGAGACATGAGTATGAGTATTTTTTTAAAGAACTTAATTCACGGTGTATATTTATTTCTTCTAGAACATCAACCTGTGTAGAATATGATAGGTAATATTGACAATGAACTAAAACTTGATTGATTGATTTTTTTTTTTTTTTTTTTTCGAAATTTTGTTGATTTAATTAGGGGCATATAATCTTTTTCAAATTGTCAAATTAGCTATTATTTTAATGTTGGATGTATAGTATGTAGGTACTTGTTATTATGAAGTACTACTTATTGGATTCATCTAATCTTGCCAATCATTTTTTAAAAAGCTTTCTGTGTGAATTATGTAAAAGTTCTAATGAACCAACATTAGAACCTGATAATGTTTCGATTTCTTTTATCGGAAATAAAACACACTTGTGATTATGTGATTTTCATAGTAAATTTTCAAAATATAGTCTATTCTATTAATTATTATTTAAACGCTGTATGTTCCTATATATATCAAAATGAATGTGGTAAGTTTCGTGAACTTATAAAAAAATATATCACAATTCCTTGTTCAAACAAACCTCAAATTTGGAATATTAAAAAGATAGCATGGGTTTTATTTGGATATATGTCATTGGTTAATTAGTTTTTATTAAAATGGATCACTGGTTTCCAGGGAATAGGCAAACAACTCTTTTAATTACGTTTAGTGCTTCAGTTAAATGTGTTATTCGATGTGAATAGTCTAGGCATATTGTGGAATTTTTGCTCGTTTTTGGATATTATGTTGTTTCTTGAAGCTAAGGTAGGTATTAACCGTGTATTAAGTTTTTAACGTTTATTGCACGTTTTGTTAGTTGAGTTTTCATGCAAAATCATTTTCTGATGTAAGCTAAAGCTAGCTGATTCTCACCATATGTAGAGTGGTGAGATGGGCATCTGTGACTACGCATCTTGCCAGGTGACTTCGAAATGTCAAAATTATGAGATGTTTGTTACTGTATGGTAGTTGTGAGTGCTGAAGTCGACCTCCTACTCTCAAAACTCCATCTTTGTCAAGAACCGGGATGAGACTAAGAATTTTGCTCTTTGTTTCTAGTTGATTTTTCTTCTGTAGCGTTTGTCAATGTGTAACAGCGTGGTTGTTATTATTCGACAGTTAATTTCGATGGATGCTTCTTTTTTCTGCATTTGTCCAGAAATCTTTTACAATAACATATCATCCGGATCATTTTTTTCAGTGACGAGAATCTTATAAAATAATGTTGCCAAACTCAAAGTATTATACAATACATAGGTACTGAAATAAGAGAAATACACAAAATTAAATATTTCCAATACTCCCACTTTTAGATTATTTCTAAAAATAGTCTTTGTATTAGGTATTTCAGTTCCTTTTCAATGCAAATTTTGCAATTCCATCTTGTACCTTAGGTTTTGAAAATGTTTACGAGGTAGGGCTTTAGTAAGAATATCAGCTTCTTGATTTTTCGTATTAACATACTCGATCTCAATTTCACAACTTTGGTACATCTCTCGTATAAAATGGAACTTGATGTCGATGTATTTTTTTTGTTTATATTGATTATCAATATATAGCTTTGTGGGATGATCAAAGCTAATTCCAATTTCTTGCATCAATTTACGTAGCCATATAGGTTCTTTTGTTGCCTGACAATCAGCCACATATTAAGCTTCGGTTGTTGATAACGATACTCCCTGTTGCCTTTTGCTATACACCATGTTATCGGATCATCGGAGCATTGAAGACATAACCTGTTATAGATATTCTTGTTTCTTTGTCTGTGGCATAATCGGAATCACAAAATCCGTCTAGATCCCAATTTTCTAGCTTTTTATATTTTATACCATAGCTTGATATCCATTTCAAATATTTAATTATTCTTTTCACTGCATTCCATTGTATCAAGGTTCGGCCTTGATACAATGGCAGCAAATATTAAAGATCCAACTACCGTCAACTGGGCTTCTTTGATAATTGTGGGGCAATTTTGATAACTCGTGTTTCAACTATTATTTTCTTGTATTACTACGCAAGCGCAAATTTCTTGGCGCGCCTCAATAGGTCATATGTTTTTCAAGTGTCAGTCCTTTGCGAGAGTGTGGTTATGGTGGTGCGATTTGCCGCGGTTCCCGTACTACAAGGTAGGAAAGTTTACTTTTAACGTTTGTTTATTTTACAAAGCTTTAGAAATTTCATATACTTATCAACCTGAGAACAGAAACATCATTTTTAGATTTTTTTCAAAATAATATTAGACCCTTTATTTATTAAAATCCTTCGTGGGGCAACTTTGATCATGATCAAAGTTGCCTCATATGGTAATAGTAATGCAGGTACATACTTAGATATTATTTTTATCTTGCGGAAATATGGTCCGAGTATACCAGAGAACTTTGGGTGTCAGAAAATATGAAGACTATAAAGAGGAAGTTGTCGAAGAAGCTTTAAGAAAAGTTACAGGAGATAATTTGAGTATACGGAAAGCTTCAGTAGTATTCAGTACAATATATGGGATTCCATTTGGGACTTTATACAACAGGTACAAAGGGCTCCACATTCGTCCAGTAGGACGTCCTACATTATTCATTCCACAAGAAGAACTTCAACTCGTCAAAAGCGCCGCTACCTGTGGCGACTTGCTGTATGCTTAGTGCTCAGAGTGAAAATTTTACTTAAAGTTGCCTATTAACTGTGATTTTTTTGAAAAGTGTCTTGTGCATACTATTTTGAGGTTAGTTCTGTCACCTATAATAATACAAGTTCCTTAACAATGGTTCTATCAGAGAATGACCTCGAAAAAATAAAGGCCATCTTTACCGATCGGTTCCTGCAAACAATTGCGGACAAAGTTACCAATATTATGGAAAAACGATACGATGCAAAACTTAAGGAGCAGGAACAACGAATATCTAAGTTACAAAAAGAAATTCTCGATCTAAAAAATCTTAAAAGCGAAATGCAGATGACTCTTGATAGCCAGGAACAGGCCTCTAGAAATCTGAATGTCAGAGTTTTCGGAGTACCCGTCAATCAAAACGAGGATTTGCGCTCGAGAATGCAAGATATATTCAAACAAATAAAGGTAGAAATCAATCAGCAAGTGTCATAGAGTTGCCTCCAGAAATCAATCCAATAAACCTCCGGCAGTACTAGTGCGATTCTCGCGCGATGTAGATCGAAGCCTGGTAGTATTGAAAAATCGAAAAAATTTGCGTACTACAGGAATTCAGGTGAAAGAGGACCTAACCAAGAATCGTTTAGCCTTGTTATCGGCCGCGGTGGAGAAAGAACATCTCACACTTCTTATGGATTTCGGTCACCGACAGATTTTGTTGAAACTTTAGTATATTATTTAAGAAGTAGACATAAGCATTTTCTTTCATTGCACCGACCTCGTAGCGATACAGGGTGATACTGAAAAATTAGGTCAAATATATATTTTTTATCATCTACTGGTAAAATATCGTAATTTAACTTTGGTTGATAAAATAGGAACAGTATATAGGTACTCCTTAAAAAATTATATTTTAGTTTCTAGCGTGTACAGGGTGGTCCCATTTGGACTGTAATAATAGGAAAAGCTTCATAGCTTTTTTATTCATGAAAATAATTGATTTCCGTAAAAACTTTCTAAAAGCACTTTTTGCACTGTAATATTCTCAGTGTTTTTCTCTTTGGCTCCGATTTCGAGATGTCGGGTCCGATTTTTTTTAATAGGACACCCCATATGAAAGTAACTCATTGGATAGCTCTGATTTTGCCGATTCCAATGATATTGCATCAAATCTGCAAAGACTTAATTACCCTGGCGCAGATATAAATTCGGATCACAATTCCTCTTGAAGCAAACATCCAGTTGACACTAAAAATAAACCCAACAGCCCGAGACTGGATCTGACAATACTAAACAACTTAACTCTTGCCGAAGTTAGAAATGAATTAGATAATAAACTGATCATAAGAAACTGGGCAGAGAATCAAGAAGTGGAGACTGTATGAACCGGTATCAGGGAAGCTTTGTTAGCGACAGCTCGGAATTTCCATCAACACTAGGATCAGGAAAAAAAGCTAGATGACTGATGAAATCCTCGACTTAAAGGAAGAAAGACGCCTGCAAAGAGACCCAGCAAGCATATCGTCAGTTGAATCTTGAAATAAAAAACAAAATCAGGGTAGCTGAAGAAAATTGGCTAAACAAACGGTGTGAGGAAATCGAAGACCTCGGGGCAAAATATAACAGTTTTAATATGCATAAGAAAATTAAAGAAGCTGCTGTTGTATACAAACCTCAACAGACTAGCATTCTGTTGGACAGTCAAGGTAAGCTCATTCTTGATGTCAACGACAAAGTAAAACAGTGGTGCAGTTACATCGAAAACCTGTTTTAGGACGGGAGATCGAAAATTCCTGAAGAGTATTCACGAGAAGGACTAGATATAACTAAGGAAGAAGTCCAACACGACATTCAGTTACACAAAAACGGGAACTTGCCACTTCAGATGGTGTCTACTCAGAAGTCAATAAAATCCTTACAAATGAAGAG